GGCTTAAGTTAAGCAGTTCAGGACTTTTTTTGTTGTTAGTTTACTAATTTTCTGATTAAATTAGAACCAACGAAAAGATTTAGTTGAAAAATAAAGTATAAGTGAATGGTTTTAGTCGTCGTGACTAAGTTTTCGTTACAGTAAATTATATTTAGATTTATCCCACATGGGGAGAAATTTGTATAGTACTTATGCTAGTCAATACTGCACGGCGGGAGAAGTTTAGTGATGCCTCATATGTTTTTTGTATCTCGCATAGCGAGAGAAGTTTGGGTAGCTCTTAAGCTATCCTAGTATTGACCATGGCACAATAGAAATGCACCGTCATGGTCAATACTAATCAAAGGACAAGAAAAAAGATGTAAGCGTGACTTGCAAAAGTACAGTTAATAAATGATCTCTTCGAGTTCTCAAAGTGGAATGAGGAAAGTGTACTCCTATACGGATCAAGAAATAACTTTGTTTGCATGACGTAATCATATGAATGAAGTAAGTAATAAGTGTCACATCGGTCACAGTTTTTCTGAATAGTTCTCAAAATTATGGCAGTAAAGTTTATGCCATATTTCGAGGGGGAGAATAATAAGATCAATTAAGAAAGATACTCTTCATTAAGAGTGAGATAAAAAATTAATTAATATGAATGTGACCGTCGAAGAAGTACAACGGTCATAATAACGACACCCTAAGCAGAGAAATAGCTAAATTATTGGACTTTTTAAAGTTCCGATAGGAAGATAGCGTAGTCATCCTCAAAGATATAAAGGCAGTGCTTAAAGCGCCATATGAGATTTTAACAGATTAAACCCAAACAAGAAATTTGAAGGTACACTATCTTTTTTAGAAGATGGGATGATCTGGGAGAGCATGGTATGTAGAGATCTATGACTTAAAGAGAAGAGGGACTGCGTGCCCACTTCATTGATTCAAAAACAACGAATTTCTCAATATCTATTGATGTTGTATAACTTATACAACACCTGTTGTTGGCTCTTTGAAGAAGATGAATAATACAAACAAGGATCTTGTAATACAAGAGCTTGTAGAATCAATTGCCTCTTAGCAATGAAGAGCAACAACAGCCCCATATGAAAGAGTCAGTAGCTGAGGCCCCACAAGGTCTCAAAGAATTAGTAAACCAGTTTTTTCTGATGACTATGAAGTCTATGTTAGTAAAGAAATTTAAATAGAGGGTGATCCCACTTTATTTGAAAAAGCCATGAGAAACGTTTACTCGTCTAAATGGCAAAAAGCTATGGAAGTTAAAATAAATTAGATGAATATCAATGTTGTTTGGGACTTAGAAGAAATTTCTAATGAAGCCAAAACAGTAGGCTGTAAATGGGTCTACAAAACAAAATATGACTCCAAAGGAAATACAGAAAGATATAAAGCATGACTTGTAGCAAAAGGCTTTATGCAAAGGGGATGAATAGATTACGATGAGAGTTTTCTCTCCAGTCTCATGCAAGGATTCTTTAGAATCAAAATGGTGTTATTGGCACATTACCATTTAGAGTTACATCAGATGGATGTAAAGACGGCATTCTTCAACGGGGATTTGTATAAAAATGTTTACATGGCATAACCCAAAGGTTTGGTCGTAGAAGAAAAAGAACGTATGTGATGCCGCCTGTAGAAATCCATTTATGGGTTAAAACAAGTCACAAGAGAGTAGTATTTGAAGTTGATGAAACAATGAGAAAGTTTAGGTTTTAAAAAAATGAGAAGGACAATAGCATTTATGCGAAGTTCAAGATTAGAAAATTCATTTTCCACATCCTGTGAATAGATGACATTCTACTCACTAGTAATGATGTTAATCTGTTGGAAGCTTGATGAGTGTACAAGTACAAGTAGAACTTACCCTGACGTAATTTTGCAGAAGTTCAGTCCAGATATAGATCATTGGAATGGAGTTAAGAATGTCTTACAATTTTGCAAAGTATCATAGGCCTCATGCTGAGTAAGATAGAACAAGTACTCTCAAATAGTTGAGGGTACAAATGTTAAGTCTTGGCGAGATATGTAGTGAAATCTATAGTAGTTGCTAATACTCACAGTTGGAGTATTATTGTGGAAAAGCTCCAAAGAAACAGTTGTGGTGTCAATAGTAATGCATACCATAGTATAGCTTTACATAAGGCTTAAAGAACAGGCGAAAGAAGGTTAAGAGAATTAGTACCCGGATTTAACAATGGTAGTCAACAGCAATAACCATTCAAAGTAGTTAACTCCTAAGACAACAGGTCAAGTGTGCTGTCAAACACATTGACATTGAGTTATATGTTGTAAAGGAGAAAATCTAGAATCATTTTGAAAGCATTGAGCATATGAGTACCAAACAAGTACTTGCGGATCCGCTTACCAAAGACTAACCACCCAGTGCGTTCACAGAACACACAGCCGACATGGGTTTACAGGAAAGCCTATGATTTCTGGATACTAAGGGCCTAGTTGAGAATTTGTTTTAAAACAGAGAGATGCATTATAGCTGTTTAATTTAGTGGCAACTGACCGTGACGATGAGGCACGCTCTGTGCACTGATCTGTGATAGAATGGGAAAAAGATAAAGTAAATTGAGTTTAAGTCATAAGGTGAGATCAAGGTAGAGAATGTTATGATGATCTGCACCAGTTGGCCCAACGTCCAATTGGGCCCTTGATCCGCGTCCTGATCGGGGGCGCTCAGTCGGTCATCCTGGCTGATGGCTCCCCGTCGCGCAGCGCCATAAAATTACGGTGGGGGCAGGGGCACCAGACATGAGGTCACCGATAGCCGCCAGCCCCACCTCGAAGGTCCTAACCCTACACCGATCGAGAGGGGCGCTGTGAGCGACGGGAAGCCCCATCGCCTTCGCCGCTGCCACTGGTCCGCGCCTACGCTACTGCTATAGTCGACGACCTAGCGTGCGCCTGCACGGGTTCTCCTACTCCGACACGTCGCGGCCACCGTGACGGCGGCGCCATGACAGCCTGTCCTGCTTGGAGCTGCAGGCTACTCGCTACTGCTAGCTTCCACGCAATGCCGGCCGGCGAGTCGCTGACTACGTACATACGTAGGCATGACACCGTATGGCGTACGCCAGCTATGATCTATTCGGCTGGTATTAAAGCCGGCTGGTTTCGACTGATTTAATAGTATTTTGTGAGAAAGAATAAATTGAAATAAGCTCGGTTGAAAAGTAGTTCAAGCGACCAGGTCCCTAGGATGCTAATGCTACCACGACGGTCCAGCCTGCCTGCCTTCACCATCTCGTTGCGTTGCCGTACGGTACTGTGCTCTGCTGGCTGCTAGTCCTCTGCTTCCAGCACTCCATTTTATCTCCATCTCCGCAAGGCTTTACTTACAAGTACGTCACAGCAACTATTCTGAAGCAAGAAGCACTTTTTGTGTAGCTTTGCACAAATCACACCAACACATGCATCATCGCCGAGTAATCAACAATGCCTTTTTATTTTGCCATCGAGATCACTAAATAACTTGTCTAGGGCTCTACTACGTATTGGTGTGTAATAATATGCAGAGACCGAAACAAAATTCCTTTTTTCTAAAATGATGGTTTCTGATGAGGACCAAGGACAAGGAACAGGAGGAACATTTTCCGTTCTGCTGCGTCTTCAGACTTCAATTCTTGTGCACGTCCGGAGAAGGAAAAGACGCTCACGAAATTGGCCCACACTAATGTCTAGTTCCAGCCCAAACTCGGCCTGTTAAGGCCCGGTACTTGTCCCTTCTTCCTCCTTTGGCCCAGCAAAGTTCCTCGGCACGACCTGTGTAGTGTAGGCCCACCGCGCAACGCACCGATCTGCTTCGCTCGCCCAACCTCGCCCGCCTGGCCGCCTCGCCGCCTCCCATGCCGCCGCCGGCGAGGAGCCCGACCACGGGGCCTCGGCGGCGCGCCCTCGTCCTCGCTCTCCTCCTGCTTCCCCTTCTGCTGCTCCTCCTCCACCTCGCCTCGGCCCCCCCGGCGCGCACCGCAAGCCCCCTCCTCCCGGTCCCAGGCCTGCGACTACTCCGCCGGCCGGCGAGTGGGTGCGCGACCCCGTCGCGGGCTCCTCGCTCCGCTACGACGACACCTGCAAGGAGATCTTCAAGGGCTGGAACTGCATCTCCAATGGCAAGGCCAACGCCCGCGACCTGCTCGGTTGGCGGTGGACGCCCGCTGGGCCCGGGTGCGAGTTCCCCCGCCTCGACCCGCGCCGGTTCCTGGAGCGCCACAGGGACACCAGTATCGGTAACTTCCCCGCTCCCGTTTTATTGTTTCCGAAAAATGCCTGAGAAGATTGAAATGCGATGCGACTTGGTGGGGACAAGCTGCTGTGGTCGCGTGGTTTTCAAAGGAATTGATCCGGGAGCTAGGATTATCGGGTGTGTAGAATGTTGCGACGATGCGTGGTGCGTTCCACTTAGTTATACAATGGTCAGCACGCGAGTAATGTGATTGCATGCCTTCCTTTGCTTGGTGGTCTGGTTGGGGATGGGAGTAACCTCCAAACATGGGCACATTGATATGCATTTGTAAGTTACTTATACATCTCATAAGCTAATTTGCATAGGTGTATCATATTTTCCAGTTTGAAGGGCGGGCCTGGTGCAAGCGGTAGAGTCTTACCGCCTGTGACCGGAAGGTCCCGGGTTCGAGTCGCGGTCTCCTCGCATTGCACAGGCGAGGGTAAGGCTTGCCACTGACACCCTTCCCCAGACCCCGCACAGAGCGGGAGCTCTCTGCACTGGGTACGCCCTTTTATCATATTTTCCAGTTTCCATCTTCTAGAGTTATGTGGCGCTATGGTTGCATGTTCCATTGTTTCCATTCTGTGACATGCTTCTCATTAGATTATTAGAATTGCCACATGGTAGAAGCAAGGTTCATTCACACTTCCAAATTCTGAGGCAGTAAGTGTACTCAAATTTTCTGCCTGTTGCGAGCTCATAGATTTAGAGTCTCCGAAATTTGCCTTGCTATGCTGACGGTTGTCTGATACCTTTGTTGCAGGATTTGTGGGTGATTCCTTGAACCGCAACATGTTTGCCTCATTAGTCTGCATGCTCAGGGGAGTCAGTAGCGAGGTTCGCAAATGGCGTCCTGCAGGGGCAGACCGTGGCTTCACCTTCCTGCGCTATAACCTCACCGTGGCATACCACAGGACAAATCTCTTGGTACGCTATGGTAGGTAAGAAGTGTCATTTCATTTGGATTAGCCTAAAAATGGTTATTTGGATGTATGACCTACTTGTATTGTTATTTATGCCAGAATTTTATTTCATCTTTGCATATCTTGCTTCCAGTTTAGAACTCTAGGTGTAACTTGGAAGCACTGAAAATTTTGAAATACCTCCCAGTCGGCCATTCTTGCTACCTGGTTTAATAAATAGTGGGTTAATGTTAATAGAACCATGCTCTTATCAGTCACTGTGTCTCTTTATTTTTTCCTATTTGATTCCTTCGAGTTTTTTTATGTGAGTTAGACGCTGATTCAGAACTTTTTTGTTCATGGCGATACTTTTGTCCTTCTAATTCGTCATTTTTTATTGAACCCCATATCCCTCATTTTGTAGGTGGTCAGCGAATCCAAATGGAGGCACTCTAGAATCTCTTGGATATAAGCAAGGTTACAGAGTTGATGTGGATATTCCTGACCAAACATGGGTAGAGGCATGTAGCTTCCATGATGTTCTTATTTTCAACACTGGGCATTGGTACGTGAATCGGTGAATTTCACTGTTCATGAACAAATAAGCATTAAATCAGCAGTTCTACAGCTTGATGCCAAACTAATGGCATTTTATGATTTAAGTTATTGGCATGATCAATTGACAGATAAACAAGTGTGTTATTATACAAACTAAGTACTGCAGTTACATTGTTTCCCATCAAAGTTCAAACTTGACAAAAGTGCACTGTGAACTACTTCTTGTTCACAATATACTATGTTGTAGCCAGTTAATACATCAGAAACCTATGAATATAATTTTATTGGTAGTTGCCACTAAATAGCTTTTGCCTGATGGAAGATAATGTGATTCAGCTCACTGTATATCTTTCTGAGGGCATTTCAATTGTCTTAATTTTCTCCACAGCTATCATGTTGGTTTTTGTCTGCTTTGATAATCTAGACAAAATTGTGACACACATGATAATATATAATGAGGGGCAGCCTACCACCTCAGCTATTCCCTGATCCCTGAAAATTTGTCTTATCTTGCTCTGTATGTAATACGCATATATTCTTTTACATCTGGCCTCATTTGCTTTGTTTTGTACTTAGGTGGTGGGCACCCTCGAAATTTGATCCAATACGGTCACCAATGCTGTTCTTTGAGAAGGGGAGGCCAATTGTACCTCCTTTACTGCCACCTGCTGGACTGGATTTGGCTCTTCAAAACATGGTATGCCTATAGCCTTGTTTCTTCATGTTACTAAAAGCTCCAGTTTAGGGCGCCCTAGCTGATATCTAATAACCACTTTTATCTGTGCCTGAAGCTCATATGTAACTGAATCCTGATGTTCTCTTACTATGCAATGGACTGGCATTTCTCTATTTCTCTTTGTGAAAAAAGTACACTGCCATGGCATATGGATATTATACTTCTGTACTTCAACTAATTGACGAATTTTGCCAGTTCTTTTAATATTCTTTACCATGTGAATTTGATCTGAATGGATTTATGATACTTGTATCTCTTAAAAAGACCAAAAATTCCCTATGTATGTCTATCAGAATGGCATTCAACTTATCTTTCTTATGCTCTGAATAAATAATTTCCATCAGATAATGTTTGCAAACAAAGCAATGAGACCAAACACAGTGAAATTCTTCCGGACTCAATCTCCTAGACATTTCGAAGGTGGTGACTGGAATGAAGGTGGATCTTGCCAACGTAACCAGCCCTTGTCGTCAGAAGAGGTACTGATATGATACTAAATACACGAAATGCTTAAATAGCAAACTTTTCACCTCATGCAAGCTTTCTGTTTCTTCAATTTTTGTTCCAACATCATGCATAATATGCTGACATGGATTTGGGTGGTAGGACAATTGTAATATAAAGAATGAGAAAATGTTTATTGAAGATAATATGGCTCAACCCTTATTCAGCTTTTTAAGGTTACTGGATCTGAATGACAAACTGTTTGATGGTTTCTGGCAAAATCTGTTTTTTTTTTTTAATTAGACTAACATATTGAGGCAAATCTGTTCAGGTGGAAGAATTTTTCTCTTTGGACAATAACAGCACCAATGTAGAAGCACGCTTGGTAAACCAACACTTGGTGAAGGCTCTTGAACAGTCTAGTTTCAGAGTTCTGGACATCACTCGCATGAGTGAATTCAGAGCTGATGCTCACCCTTCAACAACTGGCGGGAAAAAACACGATGATTGCATGCATTGGTCTTTGCCAGGGCCAACGGACACATGGAACGATTTGCTAGCGTCCAGTCTTGAAGCAGTTGAGAACGTCTGAGAAATAAAACTCAAGAGCTCACCTGAGAAATTATCCCTAACTTCATTCTTTTTTTTTCGGGATATGAGTATGAAGCATGAACCCACTAGTAGAATAGAGTTTTGCTGAAATCTGTTTTTAGGCCTTTTTCTGCAGCTTGTTTCATATAGAGGGGAGCATTTTCCCCACTTGTATTCTTGACCCTGTATATTTTAACATCACTGTAAAGTTCCACTGATGATATACGGATGCTATAACAGGTCGAATCCATTTTGTTTGTTTGAAACTAAGTCGCATGTATGGACCAACAGATGCATGGAGCATGTTTTGGCCCAGACAACACTATTGACATTTCATTCACTGCAGATTTGAACTGAATTCATGAGTCCCGGCGAAATACCTCTCCCCAAAACACCCACCCCTAGTAATCTCATTCTCTTGCCATTTTTCTCTTCAGGTGAGACCAGCACCAGTGTCTACCCTGAGTTAACATTCTGCTGATAGATTGTTATAGGATCATCTAGCCATAGATCTAGTATGTATACTGACATTTGAGATAAATAGCGAGTCCTAGAACATGAAGTAGTACAGGATTTAGAGATAGAGGAAGAGAGAGAGAGGGTGCGGAGGTGCAAACCATTAGCCGCCTTCGTAGAAGACGAGCTGGCCATGGGGTTGCTTGTCGGTGGCGCGGTGAAGCCCGGCGGTGAAGGCGCTGTCGCGGTGGCGGCGGTGCAGAAGCGGCGGTGGCCGGTGGCGGAGCTTCCCGTCGCTGGTAGCGCCCTCTCTCTAGATCGGCTAGGGTTAGGATGTAGGTGGGGTGTTTGGCGGCTCAGGTGAACCTCGTGCCTTGTGCTCCGCCCCCACCTCCCTTTTTATGGCGCTGTGCGACGGGGGCCAACCAATCATGGAGCGGTTGGGCGCCTCCGATCAGGGCGTGGATCCAAGGGTCCAATTGACTGTTGGGCCAATTGGTGGAGATCAATCTAGCATTCTCCCCCTTGATCCCCTTATGACTTAAACTTAACTTACTTACTTTATCTTATTCCCATTCCATCATAGATCAGTGCATAGAGCGTGCCTCATCGTCACGCGCACCCGCTGGCAAGTTAAAAAATCTCCCAGGCGATTTCTAGGACCACCAAGGCCACGCCCCTTGCTGGGCTCCACCTCGTTCGACCCCCGAGGGCTGGCTCCGCTTCGGCTGATCCCCGAGGGTAGGCTCCGCCTCGGCCGACGTTTGGGGGCTGGCTCCGCCTCTCCCGACGTCTGAGGGCTGGCCCCGCTTCGCCCGATCCCTCGGACACGGTCCCTAACGGAAGCTCGCGCCGCCGCCAACCACTACGGGCCAGAAAGTACAACCCCAGGTCAAACTTCTGACATCGTACAAGGAGCGGTCGCGTCTCAGCACGACCCGTCTCCACGACATGACGTTCTAGGGTACTCACATCGACCCACAGTGACGGACGCATGGTCACTATGCTGCCTACACCCTATACGACCGCTGATCAGCATGTTGGTTCGTCGGTCCAACGCCTAGGTCCACGCCCCGTCGCGCCCGACCCCTCGGCCGTGGTCCGACGCATGGGTCCGCGTTCCGTCGCGCCCAACGACGACTCAAGATCTTACACCCATCCGTTGCTCTCATACAACGAGTATAAACAGCCCCTTCACGACTTCACAAAAGTCCCAAAAGGGCTCGGGGGCTCCTGTCAGGTTCATAAACCCAGGGTCCCCAATGGGCCCGCTTCCCAGCAAAAACTCGGCCCAGCAGACGGCATTACAGCGATGCGCGACTCCTGGGCCGGCCCAGATACCTAATGATAGGCCGGAAGAGCGATCCAGTCTTCGACCGGAAGGTTTGGCCAAGGAGGGGACGACGCTCGCTTCCGACTCCGACCCGCTTTTCCGACCGGAAGGCCTGGCCAAGGAGGGGACGACACGCTCGCTTCTGACTCCGACCCGCTTTTCCGACCAGAAATACATCGAACCTCTGCTTACAGCTCTTCTCCGACCGACGCGGTCGGAGCCGACTGGGAACAACCGATCGGGGATGCCCGCTCGGTAAGAACCCAAGAATCAGGCGGAGTAGATAAGGCAAGGCGCTCAAGTCAACCGCAATACCGAGGATCGTACCCTGCACACTTGCAGGACAGTACTGACAGGCCATGACAGAAGTGTGCTTTGCAACCTTTGTCAGAACACGAACGGTGTTGTAGGCGCTGACATTTATCCTACAGTAAGGTAGGCGCCGACATTTGTCATACCAAAAGAACACGATGGAGCCTGCCACATGCATATGTGCGTCAACAGTATTGTGGACGCCGACAAACTGTCTTGTACTCAACGGCGTGGGCAACAAGACTAGGAAACACACACTCTCTCTTTCTCTCCTAACTTGTAAGACCGTCCCCTTCACCTATAAAAGGGGATGCGTTCTCTCCTAAAAAAGGACGGTCGTTCCAACTCTCTCTCTCTAGGCTAAGCTTCAGACATTCTGAGCACTCGAACGGCTCCACAGCTCTAGAGCTCTAGAGCTACACGGAGCATACGTTCCAATACTTAGCGCACATAGGAGCTCCCGTCACTCTTGGCCCTTCGGTCCAGAGCCCGACCGGACCTTTAACACCCACTTCTTATTTCCACTCGTTTGTAACCCCACAACAAACCTCGAGCACCTGGGCTCAGAATAAAGTCACCGACCGACTGAAACTGGACGTAGGGCACGTTGCCTGAACCAGTATAAATCCTGTGTCATTGAGTGCTAGGGCACATCCGATCACAACGTATGGTAAAACTATAAATATTTACTTGTTGGTCACTTTTCACACCAATAAATTGTGTTAATTAAATTGTTTCGGGATACTCCCTCGGCTCGGGTTTCTAAGACACTCACAAAGTAAAAATTACTATCATAATTTGCATTAATTATCCAGCCATGTAAGCAATTTTACTGGTGTCAAAATGCATGGCGTGCAAGAAAGATGCCTCGATTGTAGCTAAACTAGCTATTGGACTGGTTATAGGCTAGCGAATGTAAGGGCTGGTTTAGTTCCTAAAATTTTTTAACCCAAACTATCACATCGAATCTTACGGCACATGCATGGAGTATTAAATATAGACAAAAAAAACTAATTGCACAGTTTGGTTGGAAATCGCGAGACGAATGTTTTAAGACTAATTAGTCCATGATTAGCCATAAGTGCTACAGTAACTAACACGCGCTAATGATAGATTAATTAGGCTTAATAAATTCGTCTCATAGTTTTCAAAGCGAGCTATGTAATTAGTTTTTTTATTAGTATCCGAAAACTTCTTCCGACATCCCCGAAACATTCGATGTGACGTACAAAAGTTTTCATTTCACGAACTAAACACATAACCTGCAGCACTCGAAGTCTGCAAGGAAGCAGGTACTTGTGTCCTCCAGGTGTCCAGTTCATAATAACGTTTATTCACTTCCTGAAGATTAATTACAAGGATATCTAATCATTCTCTTTCGCTGTCAGAGGTCATCAGAGCCATAACCGGAACTGCTAGCATGTCGTCCTAATCCTATAGCTACTAGATATAACACACTGTAGAGAATCAGAAAAAAAAATCGCCTGCCTGAACAGTTGGTCCGTATCTTGTGCAACGACAGAGCTGAGCCCTGTCCCCCCACCCCACCCCCAAAAAAAAAAAGAGCTGAGCCGTTGAGGCACACAACACGATCTATGCACATGAATTAGGCATCGATATGCATGGCATGCACATGCACGTACGGCGCTGCTGGGCAATGACCAGGCACCAACCGGCGGCTGGCTAATTGATCCTAACTACCTCTACTACTGGTACTACATCCATCAGCCACAGGACATTAAAGCAGCTAATAATCAACGATTCGAAGTCCAACTCATCAGGTGGTTCTAACTTTTCTAGCTCACGTACTGTTGGTTCGGAATCAGATGAGCAGACGACCACCGATCCATGAGACGTGCTCCTGGTAGAGTTCTTGGACCGATGGGATGGATGGATGCGTGGACAGCAAATTCGATCACCCGCAGATCACGCAATCTCGCTGTGGTTCTGGTCCAGCCACGTACTCTCTCCGTAAAAAAAAGTGTAACTTTCCGTTCATTTTATTCAAAATTTTATGTAAATTATAAAATAAATAAATCATTACTAAAGTATCTCTAATGATAAAATAAGTCATAACAAAATAGATAATATTTATATAAAAAATTTAAATAAGACGGATGATCAAACAAAACGTCTGAATGTAAAAAAATGACACTTTTTTTTAGTACTCCTTCCTACTCGCAGCTCGCAGGGGATCTTTACTGTTGTTGCGACGTGGACGTACGCGGCCCTGCTTCGATGGGCTTGGATCATCCGGGTGTTGTTGCATGGATTCAACAGCGGCCGGACAGCGATAGCTTAACCGCAGCAGGCAGGATCACCTTCTCCTCTTCTCCTCGCTGGCTGGGGCTCTCAGAATATCTATCTACAGTCCTAGTACTAGCTTAGCTATGGTTGCCCATTACCATTTCCTTTCTTTGAAAACCATTTGCTTGTACGTTTGGTGCATGCATGCAGCTCGATGTCTCTTTGGATAATTGCCTTCGGTCACTAGATCCTGCAAAGTCGGAGCCAACATTCAGAGAACTGCCTTCGACAGAAATATTATTATGCATGGCGTAGTTGAGCTGGTGGGAAATTTTTAATATACTTCAACATTTTCTAAGTCCTGCATAGAGTCCAAGGACAGCCTATTTGGAATTTTGGATTACAGCGAAAAAAGCAGTATTGCTTGTTAGTTTTTCTCTCTCGAGAATAACATTTCAGGAAAAGGAAAAACATGTCTTCTTTTTTCAAAAAAAGGGTTCTGGCATGACCGCATGAAAAGAATAGGCAGAACCCTCGTGCTGTCCTTTTCGTATGGTTACTGTTAGGCGTTATTAGGCGTTGCGAAGGAGAAACAGCAGAGCAGCATGGGTAGGTTAGGTGTTGTCCACGCTTTTGGTGATGCACACAACACT